AACTGAAACTACGCCAGGCGAGCGAAGGGATCCCTGTTTGCAAACTCTGGCTTCAGTCGGAGAGCACCATTGGGTCCGAGGGCGATGTTCTTGCTGCATGCGGCGTGGCGCTTGATCTTGGCCCGGGTCAGCGCCATGTTCACCTTGGACATCTCGTTCGACCCGAAGCCCAAGAACTCCCGGCACATCTCCTTGACGGCTCCCCAGGGGCTGCCTTCCTGGTACACGTCGACGATGTCGCAGCAGCTCTCGATGAAATCGGAGGCACACCGCTGCGCCCCAGACTTGGCGAGCTCGTCCTGCACCTCGCGCATCTCAGCCGGCATGGGGATCAACATCGTGCCGGGGTTGTACCGTTCCTTGAGGGAGCCATAGAGACCCATGGCAAAGTACAGGACCTCGGCGTTGAAGGCTCCACCTTGGATCCGGGCCTTGAGGCCATCGTCACCCTTCCGCTCGGCAGGGCCCGTAGGGTTCGCGACGAAGCGGTGCTGGGTCTCCCACACTCTTGCCCTCCTGGTCCATCCATCATCCTCGGAGTTCTGCACGCGAGGAGCGTGGTTGGAGGTACAGAAGAGAAGCCCCTGCGGGCGCCAGCTGCGGGGGCCTCGGTTTAAAGCCCTGCCGGAAATCGGAGCCCCCTGTTGCTCGCAGAAAGCTTTCATGAACTCCTCATTGAGATTGTCGTGGGACGGAACCTCCGATGCCCACACGCCCCTTTTCCCAGCGAGCTGGTCCTGGAAAGGCGTCGCCGCGTTGGCATCGGCGACGCGGCAAGCCGTGACGAAGCGGCCGGGCAGTATCGCCGGCAGCCTTCCAAGCAGCTTTTTTTGGGATGTTAAATGAGGGCTAAAGGAGTGTGCATGTCGCTCCACCCAGTTCCAGCCCCACAGCCCTGAGGCAGCTGCCACACAAATACACAGAGGCAACCACGCAATCCACGGCCACAAAAAAAAAAAAACTCTTTGCTACGCTCTGGTCCCAAACCTTGCCCCTTTTTTCCACACTCTTGCACAAGCTTCGGTGATGCGAGCTAAGGTGCCAAATCTGGGGCTTATGGCCGGGATGCTTCCCGCCCTAAAACATTGGTTACTGCAACTCGCTGCGAAATGGCATGGAGAATTTAGTTTCTCATTGGGGATTGCATTGACGAAACCTCTGCACCAAAGCTGCGCCATTCTCAAAACTGTCTTCTGTATCGTCCAGCGCTCACGAGAGCGGCCTCGGGCACAGGCTCAACAACAGCGTCTGCGCAAGCACAGGCCGGGAGTCAAAAGTGCAAACTACCAAGTGGTTTTGCTGTGGCCCTGGCTAGCTGACGTCGGGCAGGACGAAACCGTAGCTGTCAGGCCTGGGCTGCAACTAAGGCTGCAACGGCGCCACGCACCCAACAACAATTTGACTTTTGCTGGAACCCAAACATGTAAGCATACGGCTTCGTAGCACCACCGTTGACTTCGGCATCTTCTTCCTCTTGCTTCCACTCGCCGTTCTGCGGGATGCCAGGTGGTGCATTTGCAAGGTCGCAAAAAGTGAGCAAAAGCTGCAACTTTGTAGGGGGCCTGGTCGCGGCTGAAAATGTCTAGCTGATAAGCATCACAAGTGACGCTGTTGGGATTTTCCTTTTTGATGGCCTTGGCAACGTCGCGGCTCCCGTCACAGAACACAGCAACAGACACACTCAGCTCTGGACCTTCTTCAGATCGTCCACCTCAGGATGCAGCGCTCCAACCCTCGCGAGTCCCTGCAACAAAATGCAAACGCGCCAAGCTTGGGCTATCGACATTTGCCACGCGCTCCTTGATTTGGAAGGCTCCGGCGGCGGATGGCTTGTACTCTCGGCTGTCCTGTTGCATGGCAACCCTGCAAAAGAAACCCCAAACAGGAGCCACAAGCGCACAGCTGCGGCAAGTCATGCCACGCCACGGGCGCTCGTCACCCCCAAACCGTGCCTTACATGCCTGCGCTGCTGTACTGGGGGATGCCTAGTTCGTTGGGGCGGGAGGCAGGGCAGCTCTTCTATTGCCACAGAAGCCCGGCCGCGGGGCTTGTCGAGTACGAGCTGCCGCACCCAAGTGATGCGAGTGGCAACTGTGGCAGCAGTTGCTGGAGGACCTGTTCCCATGCCTTGCACCCGTTGTAGTGCCATTTCTGCCTTCTCTGCTGCCTGCCTTGCCTTGCGCAATGCTGCAGGCAGCACAGCCTCTGGTTGAAAGAAGACAATGTGCAGTTTCTGCTCTTCGAGCAGGTTCAACACATTGATAAGGCCAAGGCTTGCAGCCAGCTTTGCTGTTTCGATTTGCATCGCTGCGCGGTTGTAAACAATCGCATAGCCTGTTTTGTCCACATCAAGTTGAACTGGTTCCAGCTTACGCGTGTCGTCTCCCACCAAGAATCCTCGTCGCTGAACGAGACAAGTTTGGAACTCGATTTGGTAAAGCTTCTTTGCAACGAAGCGGCTGTCGGAACAAACTTCCACAAGAACCTGCGTCACGTTTGCGCAAGTAGCCTCTTCTGTGACTGTGACTAGGTCGTTGATGTGTTCAGCAAAGTCCTTGAAAGAACCATTGTAGAATGCGTCAATTTCGGCATTCATCTCCCCGACACCTCCTGTTGCTCTCATTTCTGCCCTGACATAAGGGCTTAGGAAATCTGCAACAGCGTTCTTGCATTTGTCCAAACGAGCTCGTTCCTTCTCTTGTTGATGGTCGAGTGCCCAAAGGATCCGAGGACCACCACTGCAACAAATATTGAAGATCATCTGTTCATAGTTCTTACCGCTGATCTCGCTGACACTTGATAAAGGCCTCAGTTTTCCGTCGTTATCAATTAAACAAAATGATTCGTCAAGCACTCGTTCCTGTCGCAGCTGGTCAGAAGGTGCTGCTACATGCGAAGACTGCTCAAACTGCGCAGAAGGTGCTGCTGGATGCCAATCCTGCATCTGCCCCCAAGGTGTTCCAAACTGCGCAGGAGGTGCAAAATGCCAAGGCTGCGCATACTGCCCAGGGGTCCAGTAGGATGGACCAGAATACTGCATCCCAGGTTGTGATGGATGTGCTGCCAACCGTCGAGGCTGCCACTCCATAGCAAGGCTTCAAGCACAGAAAATGATGTATGAAAGCCATGCTGCTGGGATTCAATTTGCATCGAATGTGTCTGGATGAAGCTGCGGTCGATGTGTGTCAAGGAATAAATTGTTTGACATAAATTCTCCGTTGCCATGTGTTTTAGGACAACTTGCGATGTCGCGCTGCACTACTGCAAAAGGGAAACTTGAAAAGAACGATTGCAGCCAACGACTCGAACGGAGGCAAGTTGGACAGCTTTGCCAAATACAAACACTTGCAAAAACACGTCAAATGACAAACAAAGAAAGAAACATACTTTGGGTTTCTGCTGAGTTTGGCCTAACTGCACAGCAACATAATCGCACAAACGAGAAGACATGAAAATGATTCTGATCTTCATCGGTATGCCAACACCAAGCTGCCGGAATTTGCCTACCCAAGTCATGCAAAATGCTTAGCGCTGCTGGCAACGAGACAACTTTGGATCTCGATCCGGTAGGGTTTCATGGGTATAAAGCAACTGTCAGCGCAAACCTCCACAAACACATGTTGAACACCTTTGGCTTTCAGCTCTCACAACAACTTCGCTTAGTTCCCTAGTGCTTCCAGCACAGCGTTCGAAAGAACCCGTGCAAACCGTGTCAATTTCAGCCTTCTCTTCCCAACACCTTTCTTTCTTATCGCCAACCTGGTCAAACACCGGCAGCAGCGAAGCAACGCGGCAGCAGCGAGGCGGCGCGATGCAGAGCTGGCAATAGCATGACGCGGAACGGCGCGGGGACTTGGTCACCCTCGACTTCTCCAGGATGGCCTGCGTGCTCTGGGGCATCTGCAAGCGGCTGCAGACGCGCGTGGAGGTACTGGAAGGTGGAAAGGGTGAGGGCAGGGTCAGGTCATAAGACTCTGCAGAAAACTTTTAATGAGCTTGGACCAGCTTTGTGTGCGGAGCCCCAATGCAGCGACCTCCCGAGCTTCTGAGCACAACCTAGTGCAGCTTCTGGACCTGTGGCCGAGCGAATGGAAGCATCGCGGTCGAACGAGCTTATGAAAGACTCTGGGTTTGTTCGGTTACAGGCGTTTCCAAAGCATTCTTTTGGCGCGGACAGTCTGCCTGGCCATTAACTGGCAACACCTGGACGTCCATCGCACTGCTTCGCAATCCACTCTGGGCGCTTTCATAGAAGGTGGATTAAAGATGCTGCAGGTAAATCGACGGCTTTGTTGACTGCTAAAAATAAGAAGTCGAATCTCATCGAGCAACTTTCCAATTTCTCGTTGACCGGTACCCATCCTTAACAAGGGTGCACGTCACTTTTGAGAAGTGAGCTGACAAGATTGCTCTCTCTGGGGAGGGTGTTGTCAGCTCCCACTCTGTGATAGCTACAGGCCCAGGTTCAAGACATAGGTCAGAATTCGTTACTTTTGGGCACTGACGATCTGCGGGCCTACGGCCCGCTGCTCCCACGATCGT